GAACACATATACTACTGCAAGCATGCAGTTTCATCATGTGTTCCTCCTAGACAATCCCCTAAAACCATGCTTCTAATAGAAAAGAAGCTGGTTCACATCTAGTAGCATAGCCATATTTAGAAGTGCTGTACTTTCGGTGCACGCCAGTAAGCTTCCCAATTGCTGCCTTCTGATGGAAACAAACCATCAATTTCGAGCATTCCCTGTTGTAGAAAATCAAGGTACACACAATCAAACATCTGTCTGATTTGTCAATAAATAGATATCAATCTAAAGTATACTTACAAAAGTTGATCTTTGACATAGCTGCTATGCCTCTCACAGGTTTTATTCCACTCCTTAGACACACCGAGAGTGCATTGTGCAGTAAAGATAGCAGCAGCTGCAAGCATTGATGGTGGGAATCGAAGCATTTCATACTCAACTAGACATAGCTCAATCAAGAAGAACGACACGAGCTCCACCTGATTTAAACATAAACAAAAAGTTATATAAGTAGTGATTCAGAATGTTGTTATACTTCTTCGTGTGATACTCGTTCTATCTAGCAAAGAAGTTTAACACACCTTCTTATCAGACTGAGCGGCTTTAAGAAACCGCCTCATAAATGCATACGCTGTAGGCACCGTCATGTTGAACTGTAAGGCATTAACCATCAACTTTTCCTGTGGACAGTTGAAATTATTTAGCCAGAACATAATGGAGGTAATACGTTTCGTGTTAAATGTAAGATTTTGGTCTTAAATTTAACTTACCATTTCAAGCACTTCTTTTCTGGTGTAAGCTCTGTCAGAGATCAAAATTAGATCCTCCACTACAGGTACAGAAACCTCTTCATATTTGCAGGCAAGAAGCATAGCTGTTATTCCAACAAGTTGAAGCTTTTTCCGTATCACTGACTGAACTGCCAGGAATCTATCGATGAGATTCACAGTCAGATACAAGGTCTCCTCCAACAGTTCAAACTTGTAGTGTACCTTTAAATTGGATTAGACGTTAACAACACCCAAAATTCTACTTCATAAAATTCAGAAATGACACACAGCAGCAGACTGTATACCTCAATCAGCCAGTCAATGAGGATGCCTCTCATCCTCTCATTGATATCAAATTGTTGTTCCATATAGTTTGGAGGGACGCAGCTAACGATCTGCAATTAGAGAAAAGGGGTAAGCAATGATTGCATATCAAAATTGAAATAATAATGACATCACAACAGAAACAGCCTAAGCATACCCTGCACGTGTGTGTATACATTCTATGTTATGCATCTATTATTGGACTGGCTGAAAAGTTGCAGTGCTTGATTAAATTAGACTAGATTCTAAGTGTAATGTGGCAATCTATTAAGCTTAATGATCATAAAGGTGAAAAATATGACACCTCTGCAAACTCTACAACAGGCCATAATCCTAATGAACATGAACAAGTTCTCTAACAAACAAATAGGAAGAAGACTGGAGATAACATCTCCACCTCAGCCTTCTTGTAGTAAGCATAGATGTCGTCGATGTATTCCACTACTGCAAGTGAGTTCTTTTTATCAGGACTGTCTATGTCCACAATTGACCAATCTTCTGCATCTTCCATCTCTATTTCCTCATCCTGAATCAAAGAACAACATCAATGGCAATCCAAAAGCACATTCAGAACCAAGATACAAAGATCATATCAGCTTACCATCCTATCAATTTCCTCCATCATTGCTTCTGTATGTTGCACAAACATTGGCACAGCGGAATTACCAGTGGTCTTGTAATCTTCAGCATCTATAATAATGCAGTCTGCTGATTCATTTCTAATTGGTACCACTGGGACTGGTGGCTTTGTTACCTATGGAAAACTACAATGTTAACAGCAGCTCAGCTTTACAATAAACCAAGAGGGGCTTGAAAGTGTGTACCTCGACTGCTGGTTGATGCTGTTTGCTTGCGATTTGCGCAGCTAACTTCCTGAAATATCAATAACCCCACATACAAATTAACAAATGAATCGAGATCAAGTGTAATGATTTTTAGGATTCAGCTTCGTATGGACAAACACCTACTTAGTATCATACAACCAAGAGAATTAGAGTCAAACCTTGTGATTGGACGATGAATCGGAACAGGAGGGATCTTGTTAGTAGCAGCATTGGTTTTGTTTCTATAAAGAAATGAAAAGCAAGTTAAAACATGTAGAGAGATCAAGATTAAAACAAAAGAAATTCAATCGAGTACTTGGGTTTAAGAAGTTTTTACTCGGTAATGTCATTTCTCTTATGAACAACAGCACAGTGTAATGGGGGAGCTCCCATTACATTCCTATTGATTGTGCTTAGTGCCCTCCTATTTTGCCCCAACCCTCCAGTCACTTTTCCTCCAACACCAGGCCTCAATCCCCCTAAATAACAATTAGGGTTTATCACAGTCAAATCAACAAACACAAAACAATCGAAACAAACACCAATTCAAGAACACAAAAGAAACTAAACTCACCTTGAAGATTTGAAGGCCTAATCACTCCTGGGTAATTCTCATCTGATCCAGCCATCTTCACTGCACCAATCCACAAAACAAAAACAAAATCAAAAACCCAATTGAAAAATTGAATGACCCATCAATCTGAACCAAGAAAAATAATAAAGAATTAAGCTTAGACACACAACAAAAACTTCATTTCATGAAACCCCAAATACCAACCTGAAAACTTGATCAACACTAGACGAAAAAGATCAGATCTTTGAGTGGAAACAACCCGAAAAGATCCCAGAAATCGATTAAAGACTAGTAATTGAAGAACCCCATGAAACTAATCAAAGATTTTCAAAAAGAAAAAGTGTTTCTCTACTGATTTATCTTGTTGGGGTTCATTAAAAAGAGAGGATTTGGGAAATGGGTATATAAAATTGAATCGTAAACATCGGATATATGTCTGCACATGCTACGCCTTTTTTGTTTTTCTTTCTTCATAAAATTTTGAAAGTAACGGCTAGTAAAATATAGCCGTTAGATGAAAGGTCGCGAAGTTCCGAGCTGTGGCCTAACGGTTGTCTTTCAAAAAAATTGCTTCTAATCATCATATCTTTTGCTTTTTTAGTATTTTTCTAATTTTCATCTTTTTTGTCTCAAATAATTACTCATGGTTAAGGATTATGATTATACTTTTTACTCCTTTTGGTTAATTCTATTTTCTCCCTTTAGGCATATTTCATCTGTTCACTTTTACTTGTTCAATATAATAAAATTAAAAGTTCAATTTTACGGTTCATTTTAGACAATAAAGAAATCATTTATCACCTAGTTCATGATTAAGTGTAATCATTTCCTAATGTATTTTTCAAAGATTAAATTTATTGTGTTCGAAGGGTAATATAGTAAAATTATTATTCTATTTTCTATTTTTTTACGCACATGGGGGTAAGTCAGTATTAGATAGAGTAAATACTACTCCCTCCTCCGTCCATTTTTACTTGTTCACTATATATACTATTTTTTGTATGTCCAACAATATTTGTCCAGTTTATAAAATCAATGAATAATTTACCATACTGTGCCTATTTTATCCTTGCTATGAAATACTATTCATTTTCAGTGTTTAGATGACTTATATTCAATAAGGATAGTTTGGTAAAATTACCTTTATCATTTACTTCTTCCTAATCCTTGCGTCAAGTCCAATAGTTGACAACTATTATTGGATAAAGGGAGCAGTTAATAGGTGAATTGTGTTTAGATTTGATATCAGAAGAAGCTTTATTAAGACGGTTTGAACGAGTCTAATTGATATGTTATTTTATCAAATGTCAGCTTGAACAATGATCGTGAGTTTGGAATTATGTTGAATCTTTATAAATTGAAATAAAACATTATCATGAATGAATTCATGCAAGCATTATAGGTTAAATGTTTGGTCTATTTATTTAATTTCTTCGTTTAATTGATAGGCTTTGAAGAATAAAAAAAAACTAATTTATAATAGTGTTAGTTAAATGATAATCATGTTTAGATTTGATATTGTAGGAGTTAATTGAGTGTTTGATGACGATTAAAATGATCTGGACAAGTTTAATTGATCGATCCGCTATTATATTAAATATTAGCTTGGTCTCAAATTTCAATTTTTGTATAGAATAAATAACATTTGTTATGGATGAAACCTCATAATTTGATTGATGTGTTATAAATTTAAAATACTAGTCTTTTTTTACCCAAAAAGACTATTTGAAGGTGTTTAATACTTTATTATTTAGGAGAAAATTTATAATCGTTAGACAGTGCTAGTCAAAAACTTGGACCACTAGCTATTAAATATTTATTGAAGAATTAAATTATACAATATATCTACTTACCTCTCCAATATCCTCTTATAAATCAAAGATCTCGAGTTGAAACTTTAAAAATTGACTTTATAGTTTTGCCATCAAGGAAATGACTCACATCTAGATTAATCGAACCTCTAAGTTGAACACCGAGATATATATTGTAACATGAAATGCATTGATATCTTAAATATATTAGTCGGATTTTGTTTGCCGTAATTTCCCCTTGCCATTTTAATGATGGACGCTCCATAGTCCCTACTATGGCCCTTTTTTAATTTGATAAATTATTAATAAAAGAAAACCATTAAGATATGATTATAAAGATGAAAAAAAAAATGAACTTATAGTACAATATCATTTCATATCTCAATAAATTCATTGAACCATCAAATTTAATCACTATATCCACCCCATAAGCTAAATTTATCTAGTAAATTTTCTCTTGCATATATAATTGCATAGAGATAAAATTTCATGAGATAATATTTCAAGTAAAGCCGTAAAAGGTGACATGTCGTTTATAGCTTAATATAGTAAGGCACTATTTCAAAGGCGCATAAATTTTGTATTTTTTTCCTCAATTTAGACGCGTAGGTAACGAGTGGAATTTTGAGATTGACCGAAAAGAGAAAAATCAAATCCAAAAAATTTCTTCGAAATTATTAGGGTTTTGATTTTTCTATCCTCCATGAAACAACCTATAATTTATTGAATCAAAAATTCACATTATTAATATTATTGGTTTTGGTTCTTGGAGGTTTTCAAATGGTATCAGCTGGGGAAAAAGCTATTGAACAAGGGTTTAAAATGGATGAAGAAAATGATCAATCAAATCAAATTACAACTCCTATTGATAAAAGGGATTTGGTATATGAACTTATGGGTATAATTCATATTATAAGTTCTTACGCCGAATTTAGGAGGACTCAAAGAAAGGAAAGTCGTAACCTTGTACGTAGGATGAAACTTTTATTACCCCTTTTAGAAGAAATTCGAGATTTCGAAGGAAAAATTCCTGAATCTGGTGTTCAATGTTTGGTGAAAATGAAGAAGGCATTTCATTCTGCTAAAAAATTGTTAAAAACTTGTCATTGTGGTAGCAAGCTTTACCTGGTAATTAATTCTATCCTTAATATCATCGTTATGTTAATATGTGTGACCGTCCTATCTAAAACCATACTTTAGTCATTACTAAATTATATTATGTCCCTCCATGTGTGCACCTGATTCTGTTTCTCGAGGTTTTGGCATGTGTGTGTTCACCTGGTTTAAAAGCTTAAGCTAGTCTAGAAATGACAATATTATATGTTTCTGGGATTGATTTTCTTGGTTTTTCGTATGCAGGCTTTGGAAAGTGAGGCTGTTATAAGGAGATTTCATTCTGTATATGAAAAATTAAGCCAAACCTTGGATGGAATGCCTTATGAAGAACTTGGTATTTCAGATGAAGAGAAAGAACAGGTCAGTTTAGTACGAAGAAATATGTTTTCCTAGAAAATAAGTGGTTTTCTTACTTATTTTCACGGTCTGATACTTTTCAGGTGGAGTTGATGATCATTCAATTTAAAAGGTCTAAGAAACGAATTGATACTCAAGATATGGAACTCGCGATGGATTTGATGGTTTCATTGTCCACGGAGAATGATCGAAATGCAGATAGTGCTAGTATAGAAAGGCTAGCGAAAAAACTGGAATTGCATACAGTTGAAGATCTAAAAGCTGAAATGATATCAGTTAAAGAAGTTATAAAAGAAAGACGATCACATAATGCTGAGAACACACAACGAATCGTTGATCTTCTAGACAAATTGAAAAAATTAGCAGGTATGGAAGAAACTGGTCCTTGTGATGAACCTGTTATGCCTAAAGCTCTCGAGAAATCAACCTCGATAGCTATACCAAACGAGTTTCTTTGTCCTATCACATTACAGATTATGGCTGATCCGGTTATTATCTCAACAGGACAGGTGAGTAAATTTGTTGATTATACCAAACGAGTTTCTTAGTGAAGTGTGACTAACTTCTTTTCACTCGCGCGATCTTTTGCAGACGTATGAAAGAGAGAGTATACAACAGTGGTTGGATTCAAATCACCATACATGTCCGAAAACGGGGGAAACTTTGACACATTTATCATTAGCACCAAACTTTGCTCTAAGGAATTTAATTGAAGAGTGGTGTTTGAAAAACAACTTTCAACTTCCAGCAAAAGAGACTCCAATGAACCCCGAAAGTCCTTCTGCTGGAAGTGATGAAAAGCTATTGTCGTTGATTAAAGACCTGTCTTTTAGTCATTTAGAAGTGCAGAGAAAGGCAGTAACAAAGATCAGAATGCTTTCGAAAGAAAATCCAGAGAAACGAACATTGATAGCTAATTATGGAGGAATTCCACCACTCGTGTTGCTACTTTCCTATCCGGATTCCAAAATCCAGGAACATGCCGTGACAGCTCTTTTAAACTTGTCAATCGATGAATCAAACAAGAAACTTATATCCAGAGAAAACGCGATTCCTGAAATAATTGAGATTTTGCAAAATGGAAGTGTTGGAGCTAAAGAGAACTCTGCAGCAGCATTGTTTAGCTTATCAATGCTTGATGAAAACAAAGTAGCTATAGGTTCGTTAAATGGCATCCCTCCGTTGATTGATCTGTTAAAAAATGGAACAATCAGAGGGAGAAAGGATGCTATTACTGCACTTTTCAATCTATGTTTCAACCATGCTAACAAAAGTATCGCGATCCAAGCTGGGATTGTAGCACCATTACTTCAACTACTAGAGGAAAAACACTTAGACATGGTTGATGAGACATTGTCAATATTGTTGATTCTCGCGACTCATCCAGAAGGCAGACAGGTAATTGGAAAGCTTTCATTCATCGAAACACTGGTAAATTTGATGAAGGATGGCACTCCCAAGAACAAGGAATGTTCTGTGGCTGTACTTTTCGAGTTGAGTACCTATAATTCAAATCTTATGCTTGCTGCCCTTCAATACGGCGTGTATGAATATCTAGTAGAGATAGGTAAGGAGGGAACTGATCGCGGCCAAAGGAAAGCAAAATCAATACTACAACTTATGACCAAAACTGAGCAGATCCCATATTGACAATGCAAAGTCCAAATGTACATCTGCTTTGCATCCAAATTAACGAATATATATTTGTTATATGTTATATAATGTAAGAAAAAGAGAGAAAACACGAGTGCTAATAGAACTCGTTGAAGGGTTGTGTCTCTTCAGAAAAGATAATAGAAGTCCTAACGGAAACTCTGTGAAGAACTTTCTGCAATGATTCAAGGCAAAGTTAGAAGAATTTTTGCAGGAATATTTCTCCTTGTAATCCAGGTACTATGTTACTTGGACTTTTCAAAAATGTTGACAGGTGCATGTCAGGTACTCCAAAAAAATTAGTGCATTTTGGAGAATCTGACACGGGTGCAACAACAATTTTGAAGAGTCAGAACAATATAGATCATAGATTGTGAACTTGCATTACAATCTAGTGTTGATTAGATGGATGTGATTGTTTTATGTGACTAATGAAAACAAATCAATGGAGAATCCTGGGAGAATGTGTGTTGTTGAGATTGTAAATATTGTTTTACTTCTCCTTGTACATTGTTTTTTCTTCTTTTCCTATTGAAAGCTTGTAAATTATTAAATAAAAAAATCAAACCCCTTAAGAAAATCTCATTTATTTTTATTTTTATGCTACTATTGATTTTGCAGCAAATATGAGAACAAATCATTATCTTTATCAAGAACAATACATTGATCGTTTAGTTGGTGGGATAAGAAATTCCAAAATATTGCATGTAATTATTTTAACCTGCATTTGGTAATACGTATTATTTAGTCTCAGGATTATTTTATCCCACGAAAACGTTTTGTTGACACATTGTGATGAAAGTAGAGTTACAAGTACAAATAACTCCAATATCAAAATGAGTTGTAGCTCATTGTTTAATTAATTTTGGTAAATTCAAGATTTTACTAACATTAATAAAACAAGTCTTAATTATGATATTTCATTTATAAAAATTCAAAAAAACATGGAGATGTAACATTGCTAAACATAAGTGAGCTACATTTTGAGCAACTCCAAAAGCAAAGACGATTACAAAACTTAGAGTCAACGAATTTAGAACAAATATGCTCATATCTACATAATATATAGAGGGTAATATAGATATACTTATAACCTAACAACAAGACACAAAATTTTGAAAAGTTAATAAAAAGGGAAAAACAATTAGGCAGTTTGGTATGGAGAGTTTGGAGGCTAAATTATGGTACTGTTTTAATATTAACAGTTTGATGTTTTGACTTTTGAGTATTGATAAATGACAATAAAAATGGAAAATATATTAATTGGTCGACAACCACTCTCAATTTAAATATTTAATTAGTGCAACCAATTAAATGTAACTACTATTCACGTATATGTGATTCTATATACGTTACAATATATATAGACATGAAGTTTAATTGAACCAAATACTTTTAATATAGGTTATAAATGGTATATAACTATGCGAAAAAAATTATATAGTTTTTCTTAAAGAAAAAAATTCATCAAAGATTGTAATAACATCAAGTGGTAAGAATTTAAGTTTGACTCATCCAATTAATTTAAAACTTGAATTCGATTCTATCCGATAACTATGATAGCATGAGATACCATATTCATGATAGAATAGTCGTGGTTTTCGTGAATTCGATATATATTTCAGTGAAAGATAGCATATACATGTTAGAATAGTTGTGGTTCCCGTGAATTCAATATCTATTTCAGTGAGAGGTAACATGTACAATTGTACATGTTAGAACAGTCGTGGTCCTCGCGAATTTGAAATTTGTATTAGCGTGAGATAACATGTACATATTAGAATAGTTGTAGTCCTCGTGAATTTGAAATATATATTAGTGTGAGATAACATGCACATTATTAGAATAGTCGTGGTCCTCGTGAATTTGAAATTTATATTAGCGTGAGATAACATGCACATTATTAGAATAGTCGTGGTCCTCGTGAATTTGAAATTTATATTAGCGTGAGATAACATGCACATTATTAGAATAGTCGTGGTCCTCGTGAATTTGAAATTTGTATTAGCATGAGATAACATGTACATGTTAGAATAGTCGCGGTCCTCGTGAATTTAAAAATTGTATTAGCGTGAGATAACATGTACATGTTAGAATAATTGCAGTCCTCGTGAATTTGATATTTATATTAGCATGAGATAACATGTACATGTTAGAATAATTGCAGTCCTCGTGAATTTGAAATTTATATTAGCGTGAGATAACATGTACATGTTAGAATAATTGCAATCCTCGTGAATTTGAAATTTATATTAGCGTGAGATAACATGTACATGTTAGAATAGTCGCAATCCTCGTGCATTTGATATCTTTATTAGTGTGAGATAACATGTACATGTTATAATAATCGTGGTCCTCATTAATCAGAATTAGTATAAGACAACATGTACTTGTAAGAATAGTTGTGATCCTCGTGATTCGTGAATACGTACAAGTAGACATGAACATAGTCCAAAATTTAAAAAGGAATCGATTCACACGAAAATAGTGACCAGACCTATATTGCTCAAATTTTCAAAAAACTAAATGGGTCTGTGGCAAAACCAATAATAATTCACCAACAACTTTTGAATCGAAAATTTATCAAAAATAATCTCTCTACTCCACCAACATAGAAGTAAAGTTTATATACATACTATTTTTTTAAATCACACTTATAAAATTCATTAATTATATTATTATTGTTATTATAGTTGTTCACCAGTAGTTAACAGACAATTCTACAATTAAAAAAAGAGTTTCATTTAAAGAACATTTCTCTTGCTTTCCCATTACTGTAAATAAATAAAAAAAGACAAAAGAAGTCACTAAAGTCTCGTGAATCCATCAACTTCTGGTCAAAGATCATGTCAATTCAAGTAAATTAACTACTTTTAGGGGCATTTTTAGGAAATACTCACTTTCCTCCCATTATTTACTCGTTCATTATATTAAAAATATATTTTACATTTAATTATTACTTTTAATAAATCCAGACAAAATCATATTTTTATCCTTTACAATAATTATTTATTTTCTAAATTAGAGAATATAATGTAAAATTTATTTTTTTAAGAGATGTGTAAAGTTTAAAGTGGACTTGTTTGGTAAAGTGATAAAGTCTTGTAGATATTTATGATGATTTTTTTTAATTAATAAATGAAATAAAATTCTGCTAACTTATTTATTTCTTAGGAAGTAGTAATAAATATTTGGAGCCAAAGTTGCCTCTTTTGAAACCCCTCACTGGCGCCGTCTCTTCATCTTTGCTCACAGTTTCTGATTTACACCTTTTACAGTAAGTATTATTTCAGCAATTTCACTTTTTTAGAACGATATATCAACCAAAATGTTTCGATCTTTGTTGCCATAAACCTTTTTTTTTTAAAAAAATTGAATTTTTTTAATGTAAATTGTATGAAGAAAATTGAAAAATGTGTTTTTTAATTCGTCATTCATGGTTATGTGCGAAAATTGATGATTTTTCGAGGTGGGTTTTGGTTTTAAACGAAGATTTAGTGGATTAGCTTCGTTGGGGGTTGTTTATGGGTATTGGAAATTGAAGTAGATTCTTCTGGGGTAGTTGGGTGCACAAAGCATCCCGCGTTAGCAAGGCCGGGGAAGTAGATTGTGTATAGCAGAATTCATGGGTTTAATTTTGGTAGTGGGTATGTGCTTTGGGTTTTCCCCTTTTGGAGTATTAAGTAAAAAAGAATTGGTCTTAAGCTGAATTTTAATTTTTTGAAATTTTGTTTGCTGTTCATCATCTTATCGAAATGGTTTGTGGGTATTTGGCATTTTTGTTTGTTGAGAAATGTTTTTATCTATTTGATGATATTTGTTTATAGATAGGAAATGTATGTTCATTTTTCACCTTAGATGTAAAAATTATGGTTTTGAATTTGTGTTAAAGGAGTCTGTTAAATATTTTGCTACAGATCTGTATTTGCTTAGCCATACATTTATTGTATGAGTTAGCTCTAATGAATACTTTTTGGCTTTAGTTTTATAGTAATTTTATGTACTTCTTTTACTCATGGAATTGGTTTTCAATCATTGTTCTTGAAATAGTTATAATGCTAAGGGTGTGTTTGGGATGAAGAAAAATGTTTTTTTTTTTTTTTGGAAAAAAGTGGCTTTTTAAACTTATTTTCTAGTGATTGGTAAGTAGGCAAAAAATATTATCCCAAGAGCATTTATATGTAATATAGCTAAACATATGGAGTAGGATAGGGTGTTGGAGGTGGGATGGTCAAGGGATGGGGGTTGGGACCGTTGGTGAGTGGAAATGAACTTGGAATGTCACTTATGTAACTTGTTTACTCTACTGCCATTAGGGAAGTCATTTTCCTCATTCTTTAAGGAACTTGTTTTCCTAGAGAAAATGTTACCAATCATGGGAAAATTGAAAACATTTGATAATTTGTGTTTTTTATATAAAGTACTAGATGATAACTTCTTACAAATAAGAGGTGGGGTATATTGGCTTCTTTATCTTCTTACCAAGACATTCATCAGTGGGTCTTTCTCCTTTGTACTGGTTCTGTCTCTTTTGTCCTCTTACACAGGGAGCTGATGAAATCTACTATGGAGTGACTGATTTGTATATTTACTACTTCACTTTTGGACCATACAAACAAAAAAGTATAAGCAATTATATTTCAGCTGATGCACTGATTTTTTCTCTTTCAGAACATCTCCTGTTATCTCATTCGGTAGCACCCAAAATATAGTTAAAGGAATTGAGTTATGTATCTTTCTGCTAGTTTTTGGTGTCTTCCCGTCCCTCCATTTGTAAAACATTTGTATAATATCTCCTGGAGATACCATTTAATGTAGTATTGTTTTTTGTAAGAATAAAGTCCACTTCCCAGGTTGCCTTGTAGTGTATAAAATATGATTTACTTACTCTTAAATCTTTTTCACATAGGTAAAATCTGTTAGCGACACCTCTTTCCCAATTCTGTTTTTTTTTTTTTTTTTGTCTTTCTACCATCTTCTTCTTCGAGTCTTCGTAACACTAAGGTAGTGGAGTATGATATATTTT